TTATTAACAAACTAAATTAAGGATAACATAATAATACTGCAAAAACGCTTTCTATTTGAATCAAGTTGGTTTTTCTGCATAACATTTCATACCTGGATACCGAAGGGTACCTGTGGATACTTTGTTTCCGAAGGCATCATTAAAAGGTGGCGTATGACTCAATTTTAATTTTTTTTCGTAGACGCTTTCTACTCATTTTTAATCGCTTGGATTATAAATCAATCGCCTTATAAGGGATGGCCCCTTAATTCCAAAGTATCAAAATAGTTTATATAGCAGCAAATAGTTGGGTTTACTCTTTTAATATTATGGATTTATCAATTTTAACCTATAGTGTTCGTCTCAGGCATTAGTGATATCAATTTTACTTGAAAAAAATAGATAGAAAGTGGGGCTGTGTTATATCAAATTTCAAATATACAATATGTATTAGATTAACTCTAATAATAAGTCTATCAAAAATATATATTTAAACAAATGTATACAGGTTGAATTGCCTTCTAAAAAGCAGTTTCAAAGAAGTTCGAGCGCAACAGCTCAAACAACTATTGCAATTCCTGTTAAAAAAAAAAACAATAAAAAGCCTATTGTTCTACATAATTTCAAACGTTGTCAAATTAATAACAGAGCAAATATTACCTGTGTACAACCTATGTTTGAAGTATACAAAAAGACTTACAAAACCGGTTTTATTTTAATAGTTTGCAACAAGAAAAGGTAAAACAGGTTTACCTACCCCCTCCAAAATATGCTTCGAGAACAAGTAACCTTATTTTTGTAGACAAGATATTTTCTAAAAATAAACCTATATTCATATTTAGAAAAAAATATTATAACTTTGTAAAATCAGAAATGAATATAATTTAGAATGGTGTTGGGGGTTCAGAAGCAATAAAATGGACGATAAAAATAAACTTACTTACACCAATACTGTTATTAATCTTGGGGTTAACATTTATAAGACATATGTCATTATATTTCTTACAGTTACTAATTTGGAATACATATCGAACAGAGGAATAATTGTCTTAATTATAGTTTATTTTTTGTGATAAATTTATACAACTTTGATAGCTATTAACCACATGGTTACATTTGCACTTATGTCTCCAACCCAGTTTCTATCCCCAAAATGTTGGCGGGATAGGAGTACGTGGTTCCAAGAAGAACGATGTACTCAACCGCAGAAAAAATTCCCGAAAATGCTGACTTCGTGGGCATCCAGAAATCCAAATTTATGTTCAACTGATTATTTTTTTAGGCATATATCAAGTATTGAATGTCATAATCTAATAACACTGCTTCAATTAGTTATGTCAGCAATCTGCAAGCCTGTATGCCCAAGCATTGGTGAAAATTTGCATCCAAAGGTTCTTTATTCGACATAATGTACTATTATCAGAGTACATAGATAAAAGAAGAGTATGGTACTATCTTATAAACAAATTATTGACCAATTTTTTTTTCAATACAAATCAATCAAGTCGTTGCTCGTCAGTAGTCTTTTTTCTGTCTTCCCAGTCCTTATCTAATATGCTCGTCAGTAGAGTTCTTTTTTTGTCTTCCCAGCCCCTATCTAATTCGCTCGTCAGTAGAGTCCTTTTTTATGTCTTCCCAGTCCCTATCTAATTTGCTCGTCAGTAGAGTCCTTTTTTATGTCTTCCCAGTCCCTATCTAATTTGCTCGTCAGTAGAGTCTTTTTTTATGTCTTCCCAGTCCCTATCTAATTTGCTCGTCAGTAGAGTCCTTTTTTATGTCTTCCCAGTCCCTATCTAATTTGCTCGTCAATGGAGTCCTTTTTTCTGTCCTCCCAGTCCCTATCTAATTTGCTCGTCAGTAGAGTCCTTTTTTCTGTCTTCCCAGCCCCTATCTAATTTGCTCGTCAGTAGAGTCCTTTTTTATGTCTTCCCAGTCCCTATCTAATTTGCTCGTCAGTAGAATCCTTTTTAGTAGTTGTTCAGAGATTATAATGTGCCTCACAGCAGGAAAAAACACTCTCAACAAATTGTAGGTTAGAAAAACACGTGTGTTGAGATTAAAAATTTTATTCTTTTTATTTAAGAAGTTGGTGTTGGATTTGAATGTATTGTGTTGTGCTTCGAACAAAGAATTTTTTTTATTGTTATTGCTAGTTAACTTCCCGTAGGGTAAGTTATTGTAATCGTCCAAAAATCGAAATCAAAAATTTTTACATTTCTCGACGTTTTGAAGGTTTCTGAACATTTTGGCATACTTCAGAAAAAATGGATGTGTGTGTGTGTGTGTGTGTGTGTTTTGTATGTCCGCGTTTTTTCGTCCACGTTTTCGGGCGCACGGATCAACCGATTTGAATGGTTTAAAAAACATTCGATTCCTATTGATAGGGAGATGTGCTAATTAGTTTTTGGCAAAGGCAGGTCCAGCCGTTACGGAGATATGGAGCAAAGAGTGCAAAAAATAGAAAGCGAGTTTTTGAGAGAACGGATCAACCGATTTGAATGGTTTAAAAAACATTCGATTCCTATTGATAGAGAGATGTGCTGATTAGTTTTTGGCAAAGGTAGGCCCAGAGGTTTCGGAGATACAGAGCTAAATTTAAAAAAAATGTCTGTTTTTGAGAGAACTAAGCGTCCGATTTAAATGATTCAAAGAACTTTCTGCTTTTTTCAACAAAATAATTGATTTTGGAAAAAAAAAAATTTTGTTTCTAATTTTTTTTTCAAAAAATTTTTTTGTAATTTTGGATTAAAAATTCAAAAAATCACCCAAGCTAAGCACAGTCTAAGCGCATTTCTGGTACAAATGTTTACCCATGTGCGTTTAGACTGCTTGTGTATTGGAGCACTTTTCCAATTTTGTGAAAATTATTGAAAAATGTGAAAATGCCGCCAAGCTGAGCACAGTATAAGTGAAAATGTCGCACAGAATTATTTGCAAATGCGTTTAGACTGTGACTATGTGGGAGCACTTATTCAATTTTGTGTAAATTTGGCAACTATTTTTTTTTTTGGAATTTGATTCGAAATGAAATGACGATTGTTAATGTTCTGGAGATGATAAATTGATTTATTTATAATTAACTTTCCATAGGGTAAGTAATCGCAAAAAAATCGAAAATGAAATTTTTTATATATCTTCACGTTTCAGAGGTTTCTGAATATGTTGGCATACCTTGGAGAAAATTGATGTATGTGTGTGTGTGTGTGTGTGTGTGTGCGTGCATGTGTGTGTGTTCGGATACAAATTTTCGTCGACGATTTCGGGAACACGTATGAAGCAATTTGAATAATTCAAAAAACATTCGATTCGTATTGATAAGGAGACGTGCTGATTAGTTTTTGTCAAAGGCAGGTCTAGCCGTTCCGAAGATATGGGGCAAAAAGAGCCAAAAACGGTAACTCAGTTTTCAAGAGAACGGAGCGTCCGATTTGTATAGTTCAAAAAACATTTTACTTGTATTAACAGGATGAAGATTTGATCAAATTTTCATGAAGATAGGTCTAGCGGTTTCAGAGATCTAGTAAAAAAAAAATAAAAAAAATAACATTTGGCGGTCAACAATAATCATTAAGCATTAGACATATGCATATCAAATTATCGGATATTTTATTGAGATTTTAACAATAAGTATAAGTTTTGTTTACATTCCTATGGGTTCCGTACCAACGTTTTTCCGTTAGACAGCGACGCGGCGCTTACGCGCTTTATATTTTATCTCTATGCAGTCAAAGCAGTACGATTGCTTTGAAAAAAAGTTCAGATCTTCCAAAATATGTCAAAATGAAGATAACATTTTTTCCAAAAAAAAATTTTTATAAAAAAAATTGTTTAAAAATTTAAAAAAAAAAAAAAAATTCAAAAAAAAGTAATTTTTTGTCCAATTTAAAATTTCTAAAAAATCTTATTTTTTCGAAGTAAAATTTTTTCAAAAATGTTAATCGTTTTTAAAAAAATAATAATTTTTGGCACGGGAAGTTCCAGCAATTTGCCTTAAGGCACGATGCCTTAACTGCCTTAAGACAGAATTCCACTTACAGCTAGTTTTAATAATCAGATTACAATATAATCTATAAATTAAAAATTAGGGAGGAACAAAAAATCTGAAATAAAATTAAAAACTAAAGTATAAAGAGAGAGATAAAGATAGAGAAAGAGAGAGAGAGAGAGATGGCTTGGAGAGAGATAAAAGGATGGCTTAGAGAGAAAGAGAGAGAAGGATGGCTTAGAGAGAGAGAGAGAGAAGGATTGCTTCTGTTTTTTTATATTAAAATAATTATGAAACTGAACCACTTGACTTCCTGGAATACCTAAGTGCTAATTATTTTTAAATAATTATGAAGAAAATTGAACAAAATTTGATAATAAGTTTGAAAGCTGACTAATTTTTATTGCATTCTGTGTTTGTTATTTTTAAATCATATTAAATTTAGTGTACAACCCCCCCCCCCTCTTCCCCCTGTTTCAAACACTGATGATGAACCAGAAAAACTAAACGTCTGAGGGCTACGCAATGTTATATATTTCAAAAATTTATCTTAATTAAATTCATGGGTAATATTAGAACGCCACCTTCTCTCTCTCTCTCTCTCCGTCTCTATCTCTCTCTTTATACCCACACACGCATACCCATATACATATAATTTTTATGTATATAATATTGGGTGTGCACCTATCATTGTATTACATTATCCTTAAGTTTGTGGGGCAAATATTTGTATATTTTTAAATAAAACAAAAAAAAAACATGCATATTTATGAAGCAAAGAAAAAGCGCCAAACTATTATTATAAATTTGCATTATTTTTTCTTTTCGCGCTAGCTATAAATTTCAACTATGTATGCACACATACAACATTACAACCTATCAAACGGTATATAACGATGAGAACCGACGTGAGCCGAACGGAGCTTCTTTCGTTTATTTTGCCGCGATGCTAGCGATGGTAATCGTATAAGTGGTATAGAACATAATATTTTTTGTACATTTTTTTTGAATCGACATATAGCTATATTCTATTACACACAAGCACGTAAATATTTCTTTGTAAACATGTATTAATAATAAAAGATATATGAACTTACAAAGGTATGTGGTTGTTACACAACATATACATACATGCTCAAGCTTAACTACAAATGTAGAGGCACTGTAGACGTACACACAAATATGTGTATATACTAGTTTGTATATATTATATTATACGTATATGTATATATACATATTGTGTATGTAGTTACCTGCGGCGTACCGTACTATCGGGTTGTATATAAACATATAAATAAACAAATATATATGTATAACAAAGTCAGTACGTGTATGTATATGTAGCAACATATTAATGGTCATAATAATAAAATATTATTATTAATTGCCAAATGTTTGACATCATTGAAACCGAACGCCTATGTATGTAGTTATTATAAGGTCAGTTAAGTTAAAACATAGATGTCAATAAAATATTTAATATGTCACCATATTAAATTTTTCAACGTGTCTATTAATAGATTTAATGCCCTGTTGCCAACTAAATTTTGGATGAATGATCCAAGCATTCAAGATCCTAGATATATGTTACGATGAGGAACGTTTGGTATCGACCACATGCGGCGTTGCATTAAACTCAAATGCAGTGTTGCCAAACTTTATTCATATAATATAATTTTAATAGTGAAACATTTTTGACATTTTGAACTAAATTAATTTTGAATTCGATATTTATTGAAATTGCAAAAAAGATATAAGCCAGCAATTTGAATTGGTATGTAACATGTAATATTTTTAACATTGCAAAACTAAATTGTACTATGTAATTTATCACTTTAGGTGATGTAGTTTTAGTTAGCAAAAAATTTTACTTTTCAAATTAATCTATTCGACAGCAATAAATTACAAAAAATAGTTCAATGCGGGGTATTTTTGCGGGTACCAATTGGTCACTATATTGCTCAGTTTCAAGCAGTAAAATATGAAAAATGACATTTACACATAGTCATATAATATTGCCGTCCCTCTCTCTTACGCTATTTATAGCACGCCAGAAAGAGAAAGGTAATCGAAATTATTTATAGAATACAATAGCAATTCTAGCATATTGCAATTTCTATATTATATTCGTCGGTCGGTTAGTTTTGTGCTCTGGGCTAATTACGAAATTGTCTTTGGTGAAACAATTGCTTCGCAAGAATTACGCAATGAGAAAAGGCAACTTCAACAGTATCATTAGCGCCCTATTAAATCAGTAAATTTGGTATTCGAAAGATTCCAAAACTTTAATTAATATACAATTAATATACAACTCTAGCGGCCAGTAGAGTCATCAAGAAATAATTTAATAAAAAGGGACCTTGAAAAGTCGAAATGGACTCGCCCGGGGTATGTGACGTAATCAAGCTAGCTGTTTTCGTTTACCGCCAAATGGCACGTTCCCATTGGTCGGTTTACAGCTGGCGGCCATTTTGTTGAGCTAATATGAGTCACCGGTATGAGAAAATGAGCCCGAATATTCAGAATCCCTGGTGAAACTAGTAGGGGCATTTTCCGTAGATACGTTCGACACGAAATATGGCGGACTATTGTAGTGGAAAAAATAAATAAAGTTATTTATAATTTAATACTAACGTGACAACTGTTTTATCAATGTTTATATGTGGAGAATAGTTATTTTGTTGTAAAGATAAATGAGATTTGATAATTACGTTTGACAACTACACGCCTAGTTGGTTATACATGCTGGCAATAGAGGAGTGTAGTGTATTTGTATGGCGCTAGTTGCCGCATTTTAGTAACACTGGCCTGTTTAGCTCGTTTTTATTTTGACATATATGTATATATTAGCATTTAAAATAATAGAAAAATATTATCAATCTGGCTGTTTATTGTTTTAATAATTTTATGCGGTATAGTGTTTCAAGTAAATCGTATTATTATGCGGCATATTTAAACTAAATCAAATGATGTTTTGTGTATATGATGATGCTGGTTTGTGCTCAGTTTCTCTATTGAACTTTATTTACAGTATTGTCAGTACGTTATTACGAAGGGTAATCCAGACTATGAATAAAAATTAATTGTAATCATATCAACATCGGAAAACTGACAGATATGACTTCTACAAGCCAAATGGTGTCAGTGAAAGCCGAAAGGCCTGATGAGGCTGAAATTCAAGAATTAGCGGCTAAAATGGTCGAAGCCAACAAAGCAAAGGCTGCACAACCTACCCAACAAACCAGGCCTTTGTCATCAATGCAATCCAATGCAAGTGGACAAGTTGGTATTATGAACTTTCTAACACGCAAAGGTGCTCCAACAAATGATAAAAGTAAAGAAAAAGCAGAATCTGACACTAAAGCTAATGATGAACGCAGTGTCAAAGGCCAGTTTGGTTGGGCTGCTATAGGAAAAGGATATGTTCCATATCTCTTTCGACAAGGAGAGAAATATTGTGCAGTTCGAATGGTGGAAGTGAAGCTGTTAAATAAGTATCTTAGCTATTTAAGCCAGGACATATATAGTTGTACATGTATACGTAGCTATTATATAACAGAAGCAGAAAGCAAATTATTAAATGAGATTAACTATAAGCACTGTGATCAGCAATTTGGACGGGAATATTTCTCTCAAAAAGACTTGGTAGTTCGACTGTCTGATGCTAATGAATTTTATCAGTTCCTAGATGTATGTTATAATAAATTACTAAATAATAGTAACAATCCCAAAGATAGATGTGGTTTTATACGTATCAATGGTGAATCAGTAGTACCATACACTGTTCGTGACGGACAAAAATTTGTGCCTCTATTTTATTTTGAGGGAGAGACTGAAAACCTAAAACTAAAGGCAGATTGCTTAGAAGGTTGGGATCTATCATATTTAAAGTTTTGTTGTAAAGTGCAGGGTATTAGAAATGAATTGTTTGCTAGTGAAACATGTGCCGTTATTAGTTTAAATGATATTAAAAGTTATTTTCCCACTGGTACAAATTTTGAGGACTATTGGCCAAGTAAAGTGACAGACTCACATTTGTTAGTTACGAGTAAAGGTGCTGTAAACCAACATGCCGGGCATTGGACTAGACAACCACCGGGGCCTCCACCTAGACTGCCAGCTGCAAATAATAATATCACTAAGGTGACACAGAGGAGGGTGCAAACTACTTTGAATAGCAATAGTGCACAAAGGTTACCTCATCCCATGCAGTCCGTTGTACAGGTAAGGCTCTCGATTCAGATTATTATTAATTGAATTAAACATTCACACATTCACATTTATTTACTCTTATTATAAACTATGTTTCACTAATGTCAACAATAATTACATGAATTATTATGTGTAGAAATTATGGTTCTACTATGAATTTACATTACATTAGATTGGTTACATTTTTATTACTTGATCATTTACATCGAATGGTTACAGTTTTATATAATTTCTAATAAAACATGTACTATTTGCATTATTTGCACATGTATTATATTATCATTATATTATTTTTGTTTGAAACTTATTTACTACTCTATTATACTAGTATGTATATACATACATACGTATATATTTAAAATGTTCTAAACGCGCCCCAATTGTCACTTTAAGAAAAGTTTAAATTAAAAACATTATTGATTATAGGTTTCAACACTGGATGTATGTCATCATTCATCAGGACAAAAGCAAGAACTTTAAAAACTTTTAAAACTTTAGTAAGAATAAACAACACATAACTAATAATTTAAATAAAAGGAGGGGGCATGTTTCGTAGGTAAAAAATGCTTATTCGATGACAAACGAAACTGAAATATGTCTTCAACATTTAGGAAAAAGTTTTTAATACTAGTATTAGTATTTTAAGTTTTTGTTCTTGTTCTGGTTTGGTTTGTTGAATGATGACACTCATCAAGTCTCGAAACGTATAATCAATAAAGAATGTTATTCGTTTAATCTTTTTTTAAAGTAACAAATGGGCTACTAATTATTTCAATTATGTTTCAAAGTTGTAAAAGCAATAAAGATATATATATATATATAAATTCATATATATATATATATATATATATATATATATATATATATATATACTAGCATAACTGGCCACCCTTTGCTGTGGCTTTTATTAAAATCCACCAAATTAAAATTTGAATCTGATGGACAATCATAAGTTCATGCTATTGATCAAAATTACCTTAAAATTTATATTAATCCAAAATTTAAATAATGAATTTTAAGTATATCTTTTATAATAAATATGTATATGTTTTCAACACTACATTGTGCAAAACTTTCCACTTTTTTTGAGTTGTTATAAAGGGGAGACATCTAGCGGGAAATATTCCAAATATTGTTTATGGTTCTAATTTTATTTTAATATTTTATCCAAAGATGCATTTCCAGGAATTAGGAATTAGTAAGTGTAGGACAAAATAAACCCACTAGAAAAATTTGAAAAATTTTTGGTTGGTGAAGACATAAAAAAAAATATTATTGTGATTTTTGAACTGACTACGTTATTCTTGTATGCTACCCATACATAAAATTTGGTACGAATTATATATTCACGCTGTTTTTGTGATATTATTAATCTTTTTTTTTTGCTATTCTATATAATTAATATTTATTAAGTTGGACATTCTGTAATGCACATTTTCAATGCTTTTTCTCTTCGTCCACACTTTTTTCTATATGCAAGTTTCCTGTAACAAATTATAATTCCAGTTTCTGTCTGTTCAGTGTTTAAAATTGTACTTATTATATTCTTCTATTATTTTTGTTTTGGTGAATTTTTGTTGTCCATATACATTTCTATTTACGATTATGATAGGTTATGGACAACGGCTTGAAATCTGTATAAAGCGGCGTGGTGCCGCGTCGTATCGATCTTAACCTAACAATAATAAAATCATACGGTGGGCGGCATCCACAAACGCCTTAACCAGGGCTTTGAAGTTTTAGGACACGGTTTTAATGAAAATCTAATAGTCAGGCGTAATTGTTAGACAGTTAATAGAATAATTAATATTTATAATAAACAGCTATTATTTTAATTGCTTTAAGACCATTTAGAAGTTTCAATTTTTTTATAATACTTATTTTCTAACTTTCAAAAATAGCTAACATGTTATAAAGTAGCTCCAGTTAGTTGAGATTTGAAATTAATCATTATCGTTAATATCGTACAGAAATATTGGATTAGATGTCTTGAAGGCTTTGTTAATGATTAAACTCTATTAAATATGGTTGAAATAATGTATATTTTTTACATCCGGGACAGTCCCGGATTTCTACCATGTGTCCCGGATTTTCTAGTTTTCCGGAAAGTAACAGATATTTTAACAAATTTTGAAAACAAACAAGAGTTATTTTTTCATATTAATTATGAAGAGGATAGAATAGAATTTTATACAAGGCTCAAAACGAACAAACATACATATATAAAAAATATAGTATATAATATAATATCTAAAATAAAAAAGCTTTTTTTATTGTATCCTTGAACAGCATTTATTATTTTAAAACGTCTCCCCTTCCGTCCCGGATTAGCATAACTAAAAATTGCCATCACGGTTTTGACTTACAAAAATATGATAACCTTAAATTAATACAACCAATACAATTCAAAATCGGTAAATATTTACCATTGTCAACTTGGAGATGAAATTAAGTTGTAGATTACATAAATACGTTGTTTCTACGTCTTTTAATATTATAGAATTTATTATCATTAACGATATTTATTATTACTAACGGTCATTACATAAATTACGCAATAATATATTTGATTATTCATCCACAACATTGTATTACCTTGTAGTTTATGTTTAGTTAAACGAGTAGCGATAACATTCTTTTTTATCAATAATGATCAAAACCACATACAAACTACGCAGCATATTCTTTTAGTCCTAGAAATCCTCAAAGGAACAAGTGAACGAAGTAATAAAATGTATGTTATCTTAAAATGAATTAAGTCACCTTACTTAAGAATTGTATATAAAGCCTTGCAATAAGGCAGTCGAGCTCAATTTTCAGTTCAGTTAGTTAAAGATATTTTAAAGAGCCGTTTAAAGAGAGTTCAGTGATAATTGACTGAACTAAAGGCTAAAAGTGAGCTTTTAGTTCAGTTTTAGTTTCAATTCTGTTTTAAGTCAATTGTATAAAATGTAAAATTAATATGAAATAATCATATCAAAAGTATGTCTGTTGTCTATACTGATCAGCGCTCCACATATTATTTGGCGGATCTTACATATTTAACTGCCTACATGACTGAACTAAAGGCTAAAAGTGAGCTTTTAGTTCAGTTTTAGTTTCAATTCTGTTTTAAGTCAATTGTATAAAATGTAAAATTAATATGAAATAATCATATCAAAAGTATGTCTGTTGTCTATACTGATCAGCGCTCCACATATTATTTGGCGGATCTTACATATTTTGTTAGCAGCTATAGAACCCAACAACGTTTTGCACAGCCGATTGATTGCAAGGATAATTATTAAGGCTTTGCAACCCAGTGGTTTCCAACCTTTTTGAACCGCGCCCCGTTTTTTAAAAAAAAAGTTGCGCTATCCTTATTTTTGGCAACGGCTTTGTGTCTGAGAAACCTTGAGATCCTTGAAACAGCTTTAATATAATAATTCATACTTTCATACTTTTATTAAGCCCGGTGCACAAGGCGCCAGTATTTCTTGTAAGATATTTTCTGTCGAGCTTTTATCGTAAGGTAACGTAAAATATATGACTAGCATTTTATTTATTTTTTTTTAAATTATTTTAACTAATACTTATAAGTATGAAATAAGATCATCACATGGATTTATCGTAATACATATATATGTTTTAAGTTTCCATTCAAATAAAATAGTTTCTTTGTACATGCTCACCTTACCATAAAAGCTTGACAGAAAATATGTTACAAGAAATACTGGCGTCGTGTGCACCGGGCTTTAGACAAAGGAGAAATGATACTACTAATAATTTTTTAAAATTTTTATAAGTTCTAATTGTTTGTTTGCATTTTTTCTATTATTTCATATTCCTATAGTTTTATAGATATATCTTAGCAAGTTATATTGAATTTTGATTAATTAATTTATGATTAATTACATGAAAGTAGTTTTATAAGATATGAACAGTGATACTTAAACTAATACGTTTTCCTAACATACGTTATTATTCTGCACTGTTCGTTTTAATAAAAACGTTTAATTTCATTGGACAGTCAGAAAAACATTCTTCTAACTTACATCTAAAAAACACTGTGTTCACTTGTAATGAAAAACATTAATTAAAATTTTGTTTTACTTGTTGGGACTGGAAACTGTTGGAACAGTTTGCGATAAAGTGTTGTATTAAAGCGCGATAAAGTATCGTTTTTGCTTACAAATTTCTATTAACCCTTTCCACTCGGATGCTACTGCAAAATACATATAATATAAATCTCGCAATTCGCGAGTGGAAAAGGTTAAAATAATACTTTAAGAAAAGACAGTAAAACCTCGTTATGACGATTTCCTGGAGACCGGATCAAAAACACGTTATTTTATTCCAAAAGCGAATTATGCTGGATCGAAATATTGTTTGAAAGTTCAGTGACCAACATTGGTGTACCATGCGAGAAATCGTATTAAAAATGATCGCCTTAACGGGGTTCTACTGTATAAATCTAGAAGATTCCTTAATAGATATCAAAGGAAAATTGGGCAATAATAGAAGACTGAGAATTGATGTTAAGACATTGGTAACATCACTATGGAATGCCGCTTCAAACGTATTAGGCAGTTCTACAAATTTTGTTGTCGTCCTAAACATATGCTTTAAATTTATTCGGTTCGATACCCACTTCGAGCAGCCTGTTGTCAGGCAGCAGTGACAACAATTTTCACTTGGAAATATAGATAGTAATATGTTTCCAAGTGAAAATAGCCCTTGTCCGGCATTGCTGCACCAATAAAAAGTCAGCCCTATCAGATTAATTCTAATAGCAAAATCATCAAATATGGATGGATTAACCATTGGATTACCATCTAAAAAAAAATACATAGTAAGAAGTTTCAGCCCAACAGCTCGTAGGACGTAAGGTTCTGATTGCTGTTAAAATTAAAAAAAAAAAAAAATATTCAGAAGTTAGTGTTTATCAAGCAATATTTGCTATAAATTAAAATCAGATGTACGAATTGCAATGCAGGACTTTTAAAAATGAGAAGATTTGATAAAAATGTAAGATTTGTTGCTTATATTTCGATTTCTGGTTTTTTGAAATTAATTTTTAAATGTACTTGCATGTGCAAATATTTAATCCTTGCATTTTACAGACTGTAGTGATGACGGATCAAACACGATCAATAGATGATGATTTAGAAAAACGTAAAAGGGAATTAGCCACAGCTCGGGCTAGAAGATATCGCGAAAAAAAACGTTTAGAAGCTGAGCAATTGAAAACTTCGAATGTTAATGGCACTCAAACTCAAACTAGTGAAAATAATGCCCAAGTAGTGAAAAGTTCCCAAGAAAATGAACTTCAGCCTAGGAGAGTATTACGTAGCCGAAAACGATTGCAATCTCTCGATCAAAATTCTCAAATGCCTAATAAAACTGCAACCCAGGATGGAAATTTGAATAAAAAAGTACGTGTGCAGCCCGCAAGGGCTGCTGCTGCTCGAAAAAATGCGTCTTATAAATATAAGTGATTCAAATTAATGGTTGTCATATAAATATTTACAACGATTGAATGAATTGTTAGGGAAATATACATGAGACTGATATAGATATTTTGCATTTGTTCTATTTTTGTATCATGGATACATTATTTAGCTTTACTCAACTAAATTCAAAATCATCAATTCCAAATTTAGAAGTGCATTTCAAATTCAGAGGGCTTAAAATCGCAATGTATCAAAAACAAATGCTTGCCCCGATGCCAGAATAATACTAATTTTTATATGCATTATTATATATTTACAAATAATTTAATATTTATTTACAGCAATTTAGAAATAAAAATAATTTAATTAGTATTTATTTTCTTTGCTTGAAGCATGACAATTGTATATAGAATAGTTTCGTTATATTTATTTAACTCAGGTAATATTAAACTCTTGATAACACCATAATTACAACGTACTAAAATGGCCTTAGAAATAATCTTGCCATATTATTTAATATAGGATTGTTTCTTTAACAATTATGGAAGCTCACCTGTTTCATTGATGTAGAAAAATCTTTTTTTATGTATTATTCCTATATTTTATATTTGATTTCATTTTTTTAGTATAATCTGCAGTATCTTGTATAGTCTGTTATTAACATGACTTCTATAATTAGTTAAAGAATGTTTAAAACCTTTTTGTTTTGAATTTTGAAAATGGAAAAAGAATAGACTGTTTTATAGGACATAGAAGTATTGAAATTCAAATTTACTGTTATATTAGCTTATGAGAAAAAATAACTTATTTAATTTCATTTTTTAATATAACATATGTTGAATGGAAAATTTTGTAAATATACATGGTATACTGATTTTTATTGGAAATATTTGAATTTATTGATGGATTATTGTTCTCATATAAAACTCTTTTTTAAAATTTTTATATTTAATAAATGGTCTGTGAAAAATAAATGTTATCATTTATGTATTTGTCCACAACTTTAGGCCTTATTAATAACAAACTTTATTTTTTCAGAATTTATTTCTATAAAAATTTAACTCATATATTTCTTGCAGCTCACACTTATCAAACTTTGATTTTTCTCACATTTATAAATTTTATTGAATAAATAAAATTATTCACCTGCTATCAATCACCTTCCACCCTGAACAGTATGTTTATTAATCTTTACCTTATACTCAATTAACATCTTCTGGTTATTTTCAGGCAATAAACAACGGTTGGCAGGCGCAGGCAGCCGGCTTAGTGGGTGGTCAGCAAGCGTACCAGGCGAACGTGCAGCAGGCATTGCGGATGGCGGCTGCTCAACAGCATCATCATACCCAGAACAGGATGTACCAGAACAACGTGAATGCTGCTGCCGCAGCAGTGGCTGCGTCTCGGTCCAGCCAGGCTCACAGCACGGCGGCCGCCGCGGCTAGACAATATCAAGCACAATATTCGAGTGCTAATGCTGCGGCGGCGATGTCTCTTGCGCTCGTCAACCAGCAACAAGCACCACCACCTCTGGTGCGGACCACATCACATAACCTTCCTGGGTTAGTTTTATTTTTATTTTTTGTATTTTACTAGCGATACTCGAAAACAATAAGAATTTCTAAGGTCGATCTACGACTTCCTGATGAAAATCAAACCTATCAATTATGAAGAAACGCTTCTGCTGGTATTTAAACAATGTCAATTAACGCGTTTTCCAGAAATCTTCTTCAAACAGATTAGAGTTTTAACCCTTATCGGTCGGAAGTCACCTGTGGCATGACAACAATACTTCGACACTGAGGTCGTAAATAACCACCCAGTAAACACCGTGTGATTTGAGCGGCGGTAGCAACCTGAAATCCACAAGCTTGCCTTCAGGGAAGTGACATGCATGTGGGATCTATGTGGATTTCAGATTGCCGCTCGGTGCCTCCCGGTGTTTACTGGGCAGGGATGTGACAACGATCAAACCAATTTTTATTTAAAAAAAAAATGGAAATAACGAAATTTTTGATGGGAATTATAGCTAGGAAAACTTCGAAGGTGGTTAAAGAAATAAGTATAATTTATGTAAAGAAGTATATCTAATACATTTAGCCAGCGATAAGAGTTAAAATTCTAAAAGGATATTTTGGAAAATGGAAAATATTATATTGACCTGTTACTTACAATTATAGTTCGATCTATTCACCAAACTGTTACTAATAACTAATTATGAAGGTTTCATCGGTTATCACATAAATTTAGTTAACATTATTGAAACGAAAAGTTTTGAGTTCTTAAAATAGTTTCCATGGTTCTGTATGTTTAAAACTAAAGGGAATCTATAGAATTGTTTACAGCAGCGGTTTCCAACATTTTCTGCTTTAATAAAAAAAAGTTGCACCACCCTTAATTATTTCAACAGTTTATTTTATAAATACTCAACTGATATCAGCAGACTAAAATTAATATGAAATATTATGTAAAAATATGCATAAAATCTAATTAATTTTTAATATCGTTCCAAAAATGTTGGGTTATTTTCGGTAATCGTATTCTGGAAAAAGATGTACGCGCCCCCTGAGAGGTATTACATATTTTTTATTTAACTCTTGCAAAGAAACGATTCCATTAATCAATGCGAGTCGTTATTTAGTTTCACCATTTTTTTGAAATTGACGCAATTGTTTTCGAGATAATGCCACCAGGTTAAATTTGCAATACACGCATATACAGCGAAAGTAGTAACAAAATGACCTTTGACAGGTTTTAATTTTTTTTTTCTTGGTCCTGTAATGCTTGCGAAATAGCACTGTCATTTTGTCTATTGTATAAGCATGCCATTTTGACCGAAAGTGAACAAAAATGAATAATTAATCAAAATTCCATGAAACACATGATTATTGCTAAAAAATTTATTGAAATCACTAGTACTGGCATAAGTTTATTGATTTTAATAGAAATAATTACAAATAACAATAGGTCCCAACAAAAACATATTAAAACCACCTTGAAATAAACTTCTGAAGGCGCGATACATGTTTGAACTGATTACTTCGACAGGACTGTGTCAATAACGCTCAACATCTGGCAGGATTGTAAATATTTTCTTCATTTATACAGTCTCGGAAACATTGCTAAAACTAGCCAATATCTAAATACAAATATGTAATTAGATTTTGTCCATATATATCATTTTGCCCGAATTTTCCTTACTTGTCGAATTTTTGTATTAAAGTTCAGGATGACTTAAAACGTCGCCAAATAATGGGATTATTTGGCGTTTTTTTTTCTGACTTCTTAAGGAAGAAAAATAATGAAATATTATAAAGAAGTTGAAGACGAAAGAGATTGAAGAGATATTTAAAGATATTTTAAATATGAGAATGAACTAGAGATAAATGATATGTATAAATGAAATATGAAAATTGTTTCATAATCTCTTATACCTGGCGTCCCTGCCTGACTGAGATATGAAAATAATATATCAATAAAAAAAAAAAAAGAGTGCGCGTAAGGATCACATGCGATTGAAGTAAAACTTTTAATATTGTATGAGTAGGCAATTAAGATAAAAATAAAAAACATCATATTTGAATTTTAAAAATCATATATTAATAATCACATAACATCAATAACACAGTTTAAAACAACAGCGATAGATTAATTGCTATCATATTTCATATATGATATAATAGGTTTGTGATAACTGAAATGAGAGACATAAATTTAGCTTTGTAAACTATGTACATTTCTGGAGAAAACTGCATCAATAGTCGTGCCATATCTTGTGGTTGATTCAAATGGAGAATTATTCATTGTTAAATTAAATTTATTATTAAAAAAATCAATTAATGGTTGAGATTCTTCTGAACGAAAATTGACATTGAAATCTCCAGCAAGAATTAATGGCATTAAAGAAAATGATTTCTTTTGGCAAATATGATTTTATTTCTATTCATTGGAATAGATGAAGATCTCCTGAGAATCGGCACAGCTGTTCTACTGATATTAAGAGTTTGAATATGATGTACAGCTTTCTTCCTAATTTTGTTACCTATCTTACCAGGAAATTCAAACCATAAACGTAGAAGTTCATCATTATCGCCACGTTCTATGTACACTAATTTTCCTACACAACCATTAGCTAAGCCATCACTTACATCAATATTAGTTGTTATAATGTAAAATTTATTCAGAACTAAAATTATTTCATACGGCAAACCCCCGGTATCAATAACCGATTTTTGTGAAACTGCTGACGAATGTATGATTGTTGATCTGTCGCACGGCAACCTACATAAATATCCGTGGCAGTAGATATTATTTTGTCTTCAACGAGACTTTCAATTCAATATAAATTTATTATATTCCATGACACATTTATTCTCTAAGAAAAGTCTTATTCCATGAGGACATAATACGGCAACCTCTTCTTTTGTAAAAAACGTGATTCAATTAATGCAAGTTCATATAGGGTTTAGCGCTCGACTTACGCATGACATGACGGGAGTGGATACTCGCGACATCAGCGCTTACGGCGTCGTAGTGTTCAACTTCACGTTGGCGTTTTCGTTGCATTTGTACGGATTTACACCCGTGTAGCCTAAAGAAATTTTTACACCCATATCCCGCCTAAAGAAGTTTTACTTCAAAAATCAATTAATGGTTGAGATTCTTCTGAACGAAAATTGACATTGAAATCTCCAGCAAGAATTAATGGCATTAAAGAAAATGATTTCTTTTGGCAAATATGATTTTATTTCTATTCATTGGAATAGATGAAGATCTCCTGAGAATCGGCACAGCTGTTCTACTGATATTAAGAGTTTGAATATGATGTACAGCTTTCTTCCTAATTTTGTTACCTATCTTACCAGGAAATTCAAACCATAAACGTAGAAGTTCATCATTATCGCCACGTTCTATGTACACTAATTTTCCTACACAACCATTAGCTAAGCCATCACTTACATCAATATTAGTTGTTATAATGTAAAATTTATTCAGAACTAAAATTATTTCATACGGCAAACCCCCGGTATCAATAACCGATTTTTGTGAAACTGCTGACGAATGTATGATTGTTGATCTGTCGCACGGCAACCTACATAAATATCCGTGGCAGTAGATATTATTTTGTCTTCAACGAGACTTTCAATTCAATATAAATTTATTATATTCCATGACACATTTATTCTCTAAGAAAAGTCTTATTCCATGAGGACATAATACGGCAACCTCTTCTTTTGTAAAAAACGTGATTCAATTAATGCAAGTTCATATAGGGTTTAGCGCTCGACTTACGCATGACATGACGGGAGTGGATACTCGCGACATCAGCGCTTACGGCGTCGTAGTGTTCAACTTCACGTTGGCGTTTTCGTTGCATTTGTACGGATTTACACCCGTGTAGCCTAAAGAAATTTTTACACCCATATCCCGCCTAAAGAAGTTTTACTTCAAAAATTAAAATAAATCATATAAATATCTCATCTATGTAAAACATGATTTTCGATAATAATAAGCATATTTTCTGTTCCAGGTCTCTATTGCCCCAGACGAGGCAAATAGGCAACGGTCGCAGTTCAAGTCTAGATACAATGTCTCGGCGCAATCTTACTCCTATTCCTGATACGCAGACATCCAGTAGTCATGTACCTTACAAAGTACAGAAAGCTTTGGTTGAGAACAAGATGGTCCCTAGCATAAATATGAAACCATATGTTTATACGGAGTTGTTAATGACTATTGCTGATCTGAAGAGCCATTTCTTTCCAACATACAATATAGACGATTGCAGACGGGCTTTGGACGCGCTGGGAATTGAACTTTTCAAAGGAAATAGGTATGTTACAGAGCTTGTTGAACTATTTTAAGCTATATGCATTTTTTTTCTTTTTCTTTTAAAGAAACAATTAAAAACTTTATAAATCCGTTTTCACGCCATATTTTTATCTGTTATCTTCGTAATTTAGTACTATATTTTGATAAAAAGAAATGGAACTTTTGCACAAATGCGGCCTTCATTACTTTACAAACAGGCTCTATTTTACTATTTGAATGTAGCACTATTTTTTAAAAGTGCCAATTGAAAAACCCTTCCTACTGAATCTTTCATCTAACTATATGCAGTTATCATGAATTTAGGATAGCTTTGGATATTAATCATAGTAGTTTAATTAGCTTAGGCAATATTGACAATTTACGATTGTGCAATCTCTATGAATACTGGTAATCTTAATCTACTATTTAATATTCTGTTAATTGAGACAAATTACAATGACACTAAGTAGGGGAAGCACGGACAAAATTACATGATATTTATTTGTTTAATGATATAATCAGCGTCAATTGTTTTTACACGTCTTAGATTCATTGACTACCAGTGATGTAGTCTTTTAATTCAATATATTTTTAAAAGAAAATGCAATTAACCACAATAACCATCTTGTCCATATACTACAGACAAAAAGCCATATAGATTAAAGACATACTGAGGTAATTTTTAAGAAATCGTTTGGTGTCCTCTTCGGGACATCAGCACCTGACACATGAGCCCAAAGGGAAGTTCATACATCGTCTAAGAGGTCTATGCTATAAATACAAGTCTCTCTTTTTACCAGTGGATAGTTTGGCCTATTTCTAGGAGTAGTTAGATAAAAATCAATCACCTTTGACAGGTTTTAATTTTATTTTTCTTGGCCTCGAATGAACTTCCCTATAGTGCTATCAAAATAGTCATTTTAACCATTGTATAAGTTTGTTATTTTGTCCAAAAGTGGAATAATGAATATTACATAAAACCTTTAATAAGTACATCAGTGCATTAAAGTTAATCAAAACCACAGAGTACTGGTATATGTTCATCAATTTTAGTATATATAATTACAAAAAACAATAAATAAGTCCCAAAAAAACATGAGGAAACCACTCTCAAAATGAACTTTTGAAGGCGCTATACATTTCAAACTGATCACTGCGACAAGTTTGTGATAAACGCTCAACGTCTGACATAATTGTGATTATTAGGGCTTCCAATACTGTAGTAAAATCTGAATATCGATATTCGATATTTGAAATTTGTAATACCAGGATCCCGGTATTAATACCGGTATTGTCAATGAAATATTTACTAGTTATATTTTTATTTACCGCAGTTGTTATATTAACATATTAACAAATAATATACGAAATCTGTTAAATATTGTTCTGATGAATTGAACATATATTATTTATTTTATATTAGTAAAAAATATATGTATATATTAACTTTTGTGTAATATTTTACATATACATAATAGCTTCGTATCGAATTATATACTTAAAGAAACAAAACATTCACATAATAACTTACATTTTGTTTATTTCATCCTCATACGAGGTTCAAATTTTAGTACAAATATAACAAGCCGCCAAAAAATCATTCTTATTATTCACTTGTCATTAACAAATAATACATTATTACTTTGTATGAATTAGTACTTTGCTTAGAGTATTTAGGTTATAATCAAATTGTAGTTAGATATGAACGATTTCTAAAAATTTGCAAACACCGCCACTTGTTGATGTCGTCGTACTCGGCTCGGTATGTGTAAAACATATTGCGTGAGTTCGATTTTTAACATAATTCTGGTAAAACCGAAATACTGGTATTTTTATATCAATGCCTATATTGAATACCGGACAAAAATCGTCTGGAATCCCGGTATTCGTGATTACGGAATCCCGGTAATGTGATTATGCGTGGCTATCGTCACGTTATACAGTGGCGATAACGTTATTAAAACTAGCCAATTTTTGAATAATTTGTGTACAGTGTTAGATTTTTCAAACATGTCATATGTCCGTATTTCCCCAATTGTTTTGTCATACCAGAATGTTTTTATTTGACTCAAGAGCTCTACAGTTTAAGGGGGTATTCTAGTGTAGAGCGATGAATTTTAGGCCATTTTTAAAGTGTCGTAAAAGAAAGCAATGAATGTTTTTACTATCCATTTTTTTACCACTTGTTTACTAATACTATTAAATTATAAAATAAAAAAAAAGTTGAAAATTGTAAAAACTGGCAGTTGATGAAGTGGGTGGACTCAAAAAATTGGCATCGGAAATGCAAAAAATAAAAAGATTATTAATCTACAATGATGTCGCAATTGCCCGAACTAGCGATGAGTAAAAATATTTTTTTTTACAAATTGGCGACTGTTTGAAAAAAGTGTTTTTTAACTGTTTTTATTTTGAGTTTCTCGAATTTTTTAAATATAGTAAAAATTGGAATTTGGGGATAATCCTAGTTCGGGCTATAGATAGGTTTATAAACAAGACTCGGTCGATTAAAACTCGAGAAATCGTGTCAACAGTACTGAAAAAGTCTGTTCTGAGAAAAATGCATTTAAAGTTTTGCGTGAAGCCAAACCAATATCGAGACCGAGTCAGTAAAATGCCTGTATCTCCGAAAATAATTCAAATTTTCAAAAACCTTATCGTACCCATATTCTTAGATAGTTAAACTTTGAGAATATGAAATAAAAAAAAACTATTTTTTTAAATTTCTACACTAGAATGAATGTAGTGAAATTTCAGTGCAAACGAAGTACATAGTTTGAAGCTAGATATGATTTTCTCTTGTCAAATTTGTAAGTATTCCTATTTTAATTCCAGATTACAAATGCAAATTCTGTGTGACAGCGGCAAGTGCACCTCGTTATCTGAAAACTTACCCTTAATTCAATTGAGGGATGTAATGAAATTTTTGCCGCAGTTAAAATACATGTTAGCCGCAAACGAGACAACGAGCCCCGCGAGCAAGCGCGCTCGCATCAGCTAGGAGGACGAATTGAGGCATTGTGTGGGACCGTGCAATACGGGCTCGATCTCCGCGATGCCTCCGCAGCACTCCGACGTGTCAGCTTCCACGATCGGTTCTCAACAGTTTCCAAATCACCACATCTCCATGTCAATCTCAAACGAGAAATATATATCAATGATTACTAATGAATTCAACAAAAATCAGATGCTAGCCAGAGACGTTAAATCCGTTGCCGATGCAACCAGCTCTTTCTATAGCCCTGAAAAAAGTTACGAGGCTCTGGCCAGCGGCGCGAGCATATTATCGGACTTAATTGAGAACCGAATAAATCTTCCTGCAGATGCTTCATCGTATTTGCCAAACGTTGGAACTGCTGATATAACAGATACATTGCAAACTCGAAATTCTCGGAGTGCTAGTATATTTTCAAGAGGCATGTCTTACGCGTCCTGTAGATATCAAGAGAACCAAGACTATAATTCGCCGATCACATCATACAATTCTTCGAATTTATATGATGCTAGAACTGACAAAGGAGCGTACAATAATCATTATACTGTTACTTCATCACATATGCTATCACCACCAGGATATCCATCATTGGACCCATCAACATTAGGTCGAAGTGTGATGGGTTACAGTGGGCAAGGACTACATGATATGGCTCAACGTATTTCCTGTCATGAGAGTTCACCTTCTATATACCCGCCCACTCCTCCACCTTCCGCACCTTGGGTTCATCCATGGTTTTTGGGAGACACTTTTTAAATAAATTAATGCTGAGGTATCCTTTCTTTTAAGAATATAGATTAAAATATTTATTTTATTATATTTTTTATATGATAATGAATGTTTAAAGTATATTTCATTTCATATCTCATAGCTTGTCCATTTATTTGATCAGTCTGCTCCAAATATTCGCTTTAATCAATCAAGCGATAACTATAATAAAAATTAAATAATGAACAAATTTTGAATTCAATACATTACAATTAAATACTGAAAGTTATGTTATGATGAAATACATAAGTATGGATAATTATGCGATTTATTTACAATGCGTTTTAGTATTGTACATTCCAATCAATACATGTATATATTTACTAATGTGAATGTAATATATGTATATATTTGTTTTACATGACATTGAGAAGTGAAAATATTGTTATTTATCTACTTATTATAGTTTAAATTATTCATACTATGATAGTTTCTATGTATCCATTAAAATATTATTTATTATATTTGTATACAAATTGTTTTTTTTTACTGTAATTTTGTTGAAAATTATTTAATTTTTTGTGATTAGTTAAAGAAGCATAGCCAATTCTGAGCAAATATTTTCATAGAAACTTTTATATGAACTTTTTTGATTGTAGAGATCGGAAATGAGTATCTATTGCTTTTGATGGTCTTTCTAGTGAAATATCTAGGGCTGAATTTTCTGTGATCATTAAAATAAATAATCTGTATTGTTTTCAGGAGCAATGTAAAAATATCATAAGAATTGTATACAGATTGATTTGAACTAAAAGATTAAATATGAGGATAAGAATAAATCTTATTAGTTATTTGAGTGCAAGTATTGTACCAGTGACAAGCTATTTTTTAATCTGATACACCATTGAGTGAGTTAACATTTATTTTTATGCATTATTTGTATATAGTTTTTCTACATGTAGTATACGTTTTATGTATATGCATATATATTATCTACATTTTCTATATTTGCAGTAGGTGATGACATACCTGTACTTTACATTGCATCCAAATTCAAATAAGATATGTTTTCAGATCAAAACTTATAAACTAACGAAAAGATTATGTTTAGAAGAAGGCAATTTTTTGTAATACGAATTACAGAAACAAGTAGTTATTATTATTATGTAATAGAAAGGACTTTTTTTAAAAGACCATTAAAATTAAATTTTTTTTTCACAAAATTATGAAATGATCCAAATTATTATTTATATATAAGCTGGTGCAGATGTTATTTCCGTTTTACAGTATGGATACAAAGGTACAATTAATAAATATATATATGATGTATTTATAAATATGTTAGATAGAGAATTTTTATTAAAACGCGTTTACTGAGTAAACTGAAGGGTTCTTTTTTTTCTTTTCACAGAAAATTATCTTAACAAGCGCAACATGAACTCATTTTTGGGAGAAATCGATTATTTTTATAAACTAAAACAGCATAATTAATGAAAGAAGTAATTGAAAATATTCTAGTCAATAATCTAGCATTTTCTTACGAATTTATAAACCATTTCGATCATGAAAAAGATCAAGTTGAAATATTATAACATAAAATTAAGTAAATTGCTCCGAAAAAGAAAAACATTAAGTTATATCAAATAAACAATAACATATTATTTTAAATAGAATCGAAAAACATAAAGGGGTGAAAAACAAAAAAGTATTCGGTTAAAATGGGCTTTCCGTGAATTTGATTTTAGCTAAGGGATTCTAATAAGATATTCTACAAGCTGTAGTGACATCGGTAATCAATTGGAAATATAGATATAGCAATATGTTTACAAGTGAAAATAGCCCTTACCGAGCTTTGCTGTATACAATAAAAATTCATCCGAATTAGCAAGTTTCTAATTGTAAAATATATCAAATAGAAATAGACCAATTGTTGGGTTGCCTTCTAAAGTTATGAAGAAGTTTACATTAGCCTTTTTATAAGACATTTAAGATGCAACAACTTTTTGTTCCGTTCTTTAACAATATTCAAGTTTATTACATTCAACATTGGAGATGAAGTTAATTTCTTCAGAAATAAATGTGAAAATAACTATAAATATATAACAAAAAGTATACAACAAAGTTTTGTCTACGAGTAACTCAAATCTTTAATACTTTTTAGTACGATTTGTATTGTGAGAATAGTGATTTCTGAACATTGTGAGTGAAATAATAATTCCTGTGACTGTGACAATGAAAAGTTTTTAATATATGTTTCTAAATGAAGAACGTGTACGATCGGAAGATTTATAGAATAACTTTTAGCCACATTGATAATGATTAATTATTAATTAATTAATTAATTAATTAATTAATAATTAAATTTTGTATCAACTAGATGGATACAGCTGTGGACTATGAAGAAGATGTTGCATGTAAGTTTATAGTTTATAAAAAATATTATAAATTATTAATTAATTAATAATTGAATTTCGTACCAACTAGAGATAGATAATGTGAACAAGAAACAGCTGTGGACTATGAAGATGTTGCATGTAAGTTTATAGTTTTTTATAAATATTATAGAAATAATTAACTATAATGAAATGGTTCGGTATGCTTTTAAAAATTTATTTTATTTTAGTTTTTTTATTAATATTTTTATTTTTAATCTTATTTAATTATTTTTAATATCCCTATTATCATTCACAATAAAACAGCGGAATACACGGATATGCGAAAAATATTTTGCTCAAAACAGTAGTTAGTCTACCCCTTGGTTTAGTAGTTAGAGCAATAGACTCCCAATCAGAAGTTCCTGGGTAGATGCTCTCGGACAGCCTGATGTCAAGCAGTAGTGACATTGTTTTTTAAATCCACTAGTATTAGGGTTATTGTAATAGTAAATTCATGAAAAGGAGATAGACCAACCGTTAGGGTGCCTTCTATAAACCAACGTTATTAACAAGTTTACAGTCTGATTTCTGATTAAAATGCTGATTTCTGTTGAAAATGTAAGAAAACAGTTGTTTAAAATTGAATTTTAAAAATATTCTAGGTGGTAAAAATTTTCAATTGCAAGGGTAGTACTTCTTATAAATGAACTTTGAGGTATAGATCGGTATGTTTGTCAATATTGACTTTGCAGGTTTTGAATATGGTATTGTTTTTAAATATTTGCGCATATTCCTTAATGAAACATCAGCAAATTTTTGGGAGTACTTAGAATGTCTGATATCGAATGCCAATAAAGTGATTGGGGATGTCTGGCTATGATGGTAAGGGGGCGTCCATTAATCACGTGATCAATTTTTTAAGGATTTTTGGACTCCCCTCTCTCACTTGGTGGTATGTGGTGATATTCAAAATTATCCATCCATCTCCACCAAACATTACGTGTATTTTTAGTTATGAAAAAAAAGTAAAATTCTTGATTTTTTTTTGAAAATGTTTGGATTTTTTAAAAAATCAGGTAATAAATAAATACACGTGATATTTTACTTTATACCTTTCTCCACCACGTGATATTGTATGATTTTTTGTTAAACCTCTCTTCACCTAAAAACCTCACGTGATTAATGGTAACCCCCCAAGGATGGCAATTTAGCAAAAAAATGGTTTACTATTTGTCTTGCAGTTGAACTTATTTGAGGCACATGATGACAGAAGGAGTACTTGCAATCTTGTATGGAAAAATATCTGAATAATTCAAACAATCTCTTTAATCTTCCTCCCAATTAAATTTTATCGAACACTATTTTTTTCAATCGATAGCATAGGTTAATCCTTTGATGTTTTTTCTTTATTATTCTCTGTGTCTATTTATTTTATTACTACTGTGATCTGTATTTCTACTAGTTAATTATTTACCCTCCACCCCAGACGTTTTATTTTTTCCCTGCGCAATGCCATTAAAATACATGTGGATCGGCCATGCTTTTCATTGCGCAGTGGGACGCCACTCATATCAATGGTGATAATACGAACTACAAAAACTGTATAAGAGAATAAGGGCACTTTTCAAATTATTTGGTAAATGATTTATAAAATTGGTGGCAAAATTTGCAATGTTTTATGACATATAGTGACACAATTATTATTTTATTAACAATTAAAATTGATTGGCGAATTTGAGTATGGCGAATATAAAAATTTATGATATAGAAGAAATATAGAAATTGAATGATATTAAAAGCTGAATATACTGATTAAATTGAAAATTACATTTGTTGAAAATGTATCGAAATGTAATTAATAAGTTGTGATGCCAAATTTTTTGTCCACATTTTCAGTAATCCAATTAGATTTTCAAAAATTGTACAAACTACTTACTTTCATATTTAAGTTATTTTAATTTTAATACCTTAACAATTAATAATTTTTTTAACTTCTAGAAATAGAAGTTTATGTTCTTGCCATAAAATCTGATTTGTTAATATCTTGTTTTCATGACGTTTTCATCACATTTGATGAAATATGGATGAAACTCGATTAAAGCTTCCAGTAATTAGTTGTTTGAAACGATTGATGTTGATGGACAGCTGGATGTCAAGCAGTAATGACAACGGTTGAGAAAGTACAGAGGTACAATATGTTTCCAAATAAAAATAGCCCTCACTTTGCTTTGGTGAAACAATGAAAAAATTGATCAGCATTAAAGAAAGTGTAATAATTAAATTCATGAAATGGAAATAAGACTTCCGTTTGAGCTTCCGTATAAGCAGACTTTAAACATTAACAATCTTGGTACGGAACTCAACAAAATTGTAACAAAATTAGGACTCATTTTTTAAAAAAAGTATCTGATAATTTGATGTGCATATGTCTAATGATCATTTTCGACCGTCAAATATCACTTTTTTTACCTTTTCCTCTGTATCTCCGAAATCCTGCCTTACCAAAAATTTCATCAATTCTTCATTTCGTCAATAGTAAAAATTTTTTTGAATCATTCAAATCGGGTACTCCGTTCTTTCAAAAACGAAATTATCGTTCTTGGCACATTTTGCTCCGTATCTTCGAAACGGTTGAACCTGTTTCCACCAAAAACTAATCAGCACGTCTCTCTATCAATAGAAATCGAATGTTTTTAAAACCATTCAAATCGGTTGATCCGTGCGCCCGAAATTGTGGACGAAAAATTGTATCCAAACATACACACACACACATACATCAATTTTTTCTAAGGTATGCCAAAATGTTCAGAAACCTTCAAAACGTGAAGATATGCAAAGATTTTAATTTTTGATTTTTTTGCGATTACTGTAACTTACCCTCCGGAAAGTTAATAATATATGTATATAAAGTAAATTCTTATATAATAATTAAAATGTATTATTATTATTGATAACGATTTTTCATATTTTGTAAAATATGACTACAGTGGATTTTTTCAAATAATACAAATTAAGTAATACAAAATGCAAAAGCTGAGAATTACTTTATATGGTACTAGTTATGAGAAACATAAATGAGATAATTTTTGTTTGTTTGTGATAATTACAATTTAAGTATAAAAATTTGTTTTGACAAGGTAAAATAAAATTATTTTTAGGTTCTGTAATTCAGAAATCTTGTCCTTTGGGTTTCATGAATGAAAATATAATCAATTGTTTGTTTGTTTATCAAAGTAAAAAGAAAATTGTATTTTAAAGGCAGTTGTACGCCCCTTTGTAACAACAAGATTAAAAACATGGTAAAAACCATTATCAATAATGTAATTAAAATATATTTATATAATAAAATAATTATTAATATACTTATATTATATAAAGCAAACCTATTGATAAACGGTAAAAACCATTATCAATAATGTAATTAAAATATATTTATATAATAAAATAATTATTAATATACTTATATTATATAAACATATATGGAACATGTTTGCGCCAAATCGAAGCAGACGATTATTTGATATAAACAAAATAGAATCAATCCAAAATCATCATAAAAAGTCAATCATTACGATACTTAAAAAACATTGAAGTTATTGTAAATACAATTATAATTTGTAATTAATATAAAATAATTAAATTGTTTTACAAAAAATTGGTTCTTCAAAATTCAATTAATCAAACATCAAAAAAAAACATGTAAAAATTCTTCAAGTCAACAATATATTATCAATTTCAGTTTAAATTTAGCGCCTAAATTTTCGTCAAACTTCACTCCTGTTTTCCCCGGTGTTCGTTATTCTCGTATACAGTATTTGTTTCTTGTTTTTATCAATAATATACATATTATTATTACAAATTACGTATTACAAATTTTAGTTTAAATTTGGCGCTTAAATTTTCGCCAAACTTCACTCCTATTTTCCCCGGCGCCCGTTATTGGCGCATACAGTATTTGTTTCAATCCACCCGTGGCGACATTACAGTCGACCCATCGAGTAGATAGCGCATTGGAGCAGTAGAGACCTGCTTTCCTTAGCGAGCGGTCGCACCTCGATCTATTTCTGACGGCGCCGTGAATAGTCAACGAAATTAATATATATATAGATTATATCAAGTTTATAATAACTCATCCGACATCGAACAAGTTTTCTAACAAGTGTTTAATTTAAAATCGGTTCGTTGATAATAAATAAATTTAGTTAACTTAGTGTTTTGTGTACCTATTGCGTGAGACTCGGCGTCTCGGCTATTAGCTAAATAAGCTAACACTGTGATACGAATTATATGTTACATGTATAATCGATATGTTATTTATTAAGTGCTCTTAGATATTTGATATTCAAGTGATCTAGTGGATTTGTATTTGTTCAGAATTTTATGAATTGTTATGAATATTTCAGTGTGTTGAACTAATCGATGGTGCCGGCAGCGCGGTTATGATATATTGATTGTTTATTTATTGGGTCGCTTCAGGTAAGAGTTTAATATTGGGAATATTTTGACTTGATAAGATAACGATATTTTGTGATGACACAATTTATTGCTTTATTTATTATAAGTTGACTTATTTTGATGATTTTCTACATAAATTAAATTCATTTTTAATTATATACCTGCGCTAGTAAAATATTAACACACGAAATTAATTTGTCGTGTAAACGTGTAAACCGTTTACTATTCTGACTTAATTCTACCAAAATAATTTAACTAGTTGTAAGTAGCATTTTGCTTGAGGCAAGTTGCATGAACTTCCCGACATGTATAAATAATCGACTTCAATCAATAAGAAATCAATTCATTTATTAATTTGTGAATGATTTATAAGTATGCCAAATCGCTGTAGGACTTCATAATATGAGAAACTATTGCAGATCATTTAATTTTGCAAAAAAAATTATTACATGTAATTGAAAATTGAACACTTGCCTAATACAACTGGACTTTTAATAAAATTTTATTATTGAACTACTTTTCGTAGGAATAATCTTTTTAATATGTTCATCAATACATTCTACTATCGCCATACCAAGTATAATTAACGAAAATGAAGTATAATTCACCGAAATTTTATTTAAACTAGCTGAAAGTGAGTATAGCTCGAAGGCAAGTTGAATTAGATAAAATATTCAACTGTTTCTTTCGAAAATAAAGTGCTTATGTTTCCCAAAATAGTAATTGCCTTAATAGTAATCATATCACAAAAACAACTTTTGAACTAATTAAACTGCTTGTCGTATGACCGTAATGTTTCAGTACGATCTATAAGACTATAATATATATATCGCCAAAAAAGTTTCATAAAAACCAGCTTAAATTTTTTTCAAAAGTTAATTACAAGAAAACGGCTCGGTAGATTTTCACCTAAAACTAATCAGTATCATTCCCAACAAATATCTTTCGAACAGTTTAAGATTTTTCAAAATCGGTTCGGTAGTATGAGCTTAAATGTGGACGAAAAGTTTAACACTTTTTCCAAATTATAAGAAGCTCGGCTGATCGTCACACAAAATTGAGAAACGATAGTGTTCATCGAGATACATGAAATGGCTTTTAAATTTCTGAAATCGGTTTAGGCGTTTTCGAGAAACCGTCGATCAAAGTTCTAATTTTGACAAATGCCAAAAAACGATTCTAATTTTTGCAAACTTTGACAATTTTTTAAAATTAAACGACTTGTCCTAGGGTCGTAATATTATAGTATGATCTATAAGACTATGGTATGTACCTTCAAAAAAAAATCATAAAAATCGTCGAAATTTTTGTTAACACTTTATTACAAGAAAACGACCCGGCTGATCTTTACCAAAAACTCATCAGCACGATTCCTAACCAATATCTTTCAAACGGTTTTTGAATTTTCAAAATCGATTCAGATTGCGGGCTAAAACGTGGACAAATTTTTTTTCACTTTTCTGCGATTTACAAATAAATGGCTTGGCCAATCGTCGCACAAAGCTGACAAACAATAGTCCTCATCGAGATGCATGGAATGGTTTTTAAATTTTTGAAATTGGCAAAAAATCTATTCACGTACACACACACATACTTTTCACAAATTTGGTCTCATTCGATTCAGAATAGCTTGAAACGTCGAGAAAACTCGACGAATCGATTTTTTGATGAAAACATGAATTTCTTCTTCAGGAAGTTAAAACTTAGTTAAAATTTGAATTAATCGGTCGCGCTCTTAGAAAGTACTTTGTGTATGTTTTAGACTTGTACTCGTTTTTCAATAATGTGTATTAATTTTTTTTTACGATTTTGATTAATCTGCAAAAGTTTCTCACATTATGACACCCTACAGCAACTTCGTATACTTTACACACTCCGAAGTTAATACATTGATTTCCTATTGATTAACACTTACGGGACGGCACCGATTTCAAAACAATTTACCGGCTGTAAACTTGAGACTGAGAGTATGTTATGCAATTTGTTCGATAAAAATTTGTGGTCATTGAAGGACATACATTTATAACATTAATTTATTTTTGATCATTTTATGAAGGATGGTGACGTTCAAAACAATTTCCAAAATGCATTGCTGGTTAATTTTGACATGTTTTACAATAAAATGTTGTTCGCCGCCTTTCTCCTGATGCTTTTCTGTCAGAACAGACAATACAATACCTTTTTTTTCTCTCGCATTTAGAATATGCCACTGATTAGTCAGTATATTTGTTCATTTTTGTGCTGCCATAATGGTTTGTTTTTTCTATTATATTGTCTAATAATTCATTTGTAAAATGTAAAGTAAAAGTCTTATATTGCTTGGTATTTGTAGTCGGGGTGTTTGTTGATGTATGTCAAACTCGATTATTAAGGAGAATCGGCACATTCGCTAATGTCTTTCCGCTCTTCATTTAATTTGTCGAATTTCTTCTTTTTGTTGGTTGGATAATATCATCATCACATTCATCACTATCTTCGGGGCGAATAGTAATTTCGTAAAATTTGTCTGTATGAATGTCTATTTGAAACTCCACAAAATTTACCAGTTGTTTTGCCCTATTTAAAACCGCTCGGTCGTTTTAAATATTAAAAGAACGACTATATAGCAAAGAAGAAGGCTAAAAATACTACTAAAATAACTTAAAATTATTTTCAAAATACAACACTATTTATCACTGCTATATGTAATTTATTCAACTTTTCGATGCAAACTGAGTCATTGTTTATAAAATAGCCTGTGCCTCACGGAGTATGTTTGTCCACTCAGGTGGACAGCCGTCCCCAAAGAGTTAAATTTACGCATTCTTTAAATATTTATAATTGAAAAGATAAATCTAATGTTTTAATATTAGATGATCAACATTTGACAACAATTTAATATGGTTTAATCATAAATATCGGTTCGCAGATCGGTAACAACGCTAAACTCTCTTTTCACGAGGTACGACGATGAAAAACATAATTCCTTGTTCCAAAATGTGTATGGAAAACTTTATATATTGAATAAAGGTTGAAACGTAGCAATGAAACCCTGGTGGACCATGTGGGCCACTTTGGGAATCACTGGTTTAGAACATATCCAGTGAAAAGTAGTTAGAAATTAAATCAACTGACTGCTTCTCTTCTAATTAATCTTCGGTATTTTACATCAACGAGCAGCGGATAAATATTGAAGATCTCAAGATTGTGAAGTCTATTAAAGCGATATGCCCTTAAATATCATCTTATATCTTAATTTCGTGAATGGCCTGGGCCACCAGTCCATGTCCAAGCAAGAATTCCTTTATCCATTCATTTTACGATGCAATCAGCTGTCATTTCATAGCTCTGCACTAAAACCTTTAATGGCTCTAACAAATCACATTATCATACATCAGCCGCTTGGCACCGCAAGCGTCAGAAATTGAATAATGCAAATACGAGATAATTGGCCTAGTGATTTGGGTTTTGTCAATAGACCGAGCACCATTATAAGCTCTTCGGACAATGTTTTGAATATAATGCACGTATTATGACCCATATTCGTATTATGTCTATATATGTCTAATAAATGGTCAGGATGTCGGGAACCTTATGTGCTTGCTCATTCATTAAACAAGTCCCCGATCGGGAGCCTGGACTCGGACTGTGCTAAGTAATTGATGTAGGAATGATATCGGCTGTGGCAGTATCATTTCTTTGTAGGCTTATGCTATAGTATGTGATCTTTTATTTTTTATTTTTATACCATTCTTGCTATAGCATTTGGTTTTTTAACTTCCCGTAGGGTAAGTTATTGTAATGGGCCGAAAATTGAAATTGAAAATTTTTACATTTCTCGACGTTTTGAAGGTTTCTGAACGTTTTGGCATACTTCAGAAAAAATGGATGTGTGTGTGTGTGTGTATGTATGTATGGATACAAACTTCCAGTCACGTTTTCGGGCGCACGGATCAACCGATTTGAATGGTTTAAAAACATTCGATTCCTATTGATAAGGAGATGTGCTGATTAGTTTTTGGCTAAGGCAGGTCCAGCAGTTACGGAGATAAGGAGCAAAGAGTGCAGAAAATATAGATCGAGTTTTTGAGAGAACGGAGCATCCGTTTTGAATGATCTAAAAAACATTCAATTAGTAATGATTGGGAGAAGGGGTTATTAGTTTTTTGCAAAGGCAGGCCCAGTCATTTCGGAGATACGGAGCTAAATGTACAAAAAATGGCAGTTTTTGAGAGAACTAAGCGTCTGATTCAATTGATTCAAAGAACTTTCTGCTTGTCCTAACAAAATAATTGATTCTGGAAAAAAAATTTTTGTTCCAATTTTTTTTTTTTTTTTTTTTTAAATTTTTTGTATATCGAAAATAATTCAGATTTTATTTTTAATTCTGACTATAGTTCTAATATACTTTAAACAAATAATTTCAACTCTGCAATTCAGTCTATATAATTCTTATAAATATTAGACAATGTTACAATATTTATAATAATCTATTTGAAAACATTCAATATTCCTCGAACATTTCGTTACGGTACAGGAAGTTCCAGCAATTTGCCTTAAGGCACGATGCCACCCACCCCACTAGTTATACATTTTTTTGCTATAACATTTGGTGTTTTGTTTCTCATTTTTATTCCATATTTTCTATAGCATTTGGTATTCTATTTGTCATTTTTATTCCATTTTTGCTATAGCATTTGGTCTTTTATTTTTTCATTTTTATACCATTTATTTCTAGCTTCTAATATTATACCATTTATTTCTACCTTTTATTTTCCTCTAATATTTTTTTTAATTCTGTTCATTGATTTACCAACATATAAATTTTTAACTTCACCAAAAAGAATTTTTTTAAAATAGAAAATCCCATTAGCTAATTTCATATTTTATTCTGAATCGATCAAGATCATATTTGCAAAAGTATGTTTTTTTTTTGTATAGAGACTGGTCTTTTGCCTGGGTAAGTCGGACTCAATGCCACCTGGGTATATTCCCGATGAAAACCTCAGCTTTTCCCTTGCCTCTGGTCTCTGGTCTCTAGT